AGAAATTATGGTTAATTATATTCTTTGTGTGTATGAGTTTGTGTGGGCCCAACACCCCTACCCCTCACCTGAGAGGGCCCGCCTTATATTGTGTGCGAGAGAGAGAGAGAGAGAGAGAGAGAGAGATAGCAAACACATACCGAGGAAGACTGATAGGTTTGCCCCACTTTTCGATGCAAAACTTTCGCGGGCCGTTTGAGCCGCGAAGCGCGGCGAAGCCCTCGTAGGGTATGGATGAGGTGCCGGTGACGAACTGCAACAGCCGCAGCCGCTGTTCGTTATCAAACTTGCGATCGATGGCCGACCAGAACCACTGTATCACAGGGTGCGAGTCATGGTAACCGCTGCGGTACTCCGTATTCTTACGCCAATCGCAAACGTCAATCTCGGCGGTGCCGGCGATCACCAGCTCCAGCTCCCGGGCGTCAAACACCGACACGAATCGCTGGTCGATCACCTCATAGAAGCCCTTCACCATCGACTCGGTCTGCTCGACGACACCCCTCTCCAGTCGCCACTTCACCATCTTCTCGATGTACTCCTTCTTGTTTCGTTCGGTCACTGCTATGTTACGGCCCCCTGTCTTCAGCTCCTGTAGGGTATTGTCCGCAAAACATTAGTATTAGTTACCGATTATGTGGTGTAATAATAGTGATGAGAAAGTAATAGCGATATAATGATTAATAATCATGTGTTTTATACGGAAGTTAATAGTGATTTGTTTATGTGTTGTTAATTGTGTTTAGCTTTTATTGATGTTTAAAAATAAAAATTTTTATTATAAAAGTCATTAATAATAAAGTAATAATACTGTAATAATAATTGCGAAAAATCGTGCATTATTTAGAGCAAGTAAAATTTTAACTATATAAAACTATGACGTTATTTCAATTCATTAATTATGTACAGAATATTTTTCAAATGTAATGATAGGTTTGCACAATAAGTGTTTGTGAAAATACAAATATAAATAGGGTATGTATTTATATTTAAAGTACTTTTCATAAAAATAATCAAAAATAATTGTCAGCAAAAGTCAAAACAATAGCCATAATAGACATTCACGACATCCGATGGCTAAGCAAACAATTGAATGGCTAATCAAAAGCCAAATCCGGATTAAAAGCAACGTTTCGTATCTAAATCAAGTGCTCTATCAGATCGGCGTATCGCCGGTAAAGCGCGGCACAAAACAAAGATCACTTCTATTTAATCCATGGCTAATGTGGACAATGACCGCCATTATGATTGCACAGCAATTATCATCACTGATGGTAAATAGCGAAGAATATTCCGCACAAGTCGGCGATTATAGCTACAAATGGAGGGCAAAGTCGGCCATCAATATCATGACAATAACCGACTTAATACAAGTGCTGGCATTACAGGTGCTGTTCGTCACTAACCGTACGCCCATTGATATGGGAATCAACAGCAAAACACATGATAATCGCACACAACACCCGACTCGGGAACTAACCATCGAGTGTTTAGATAGAAAATCACAGCTCGTGTTGAAATGTATCAAATATTTCAATATATACGCTGTGTCAGTCTATACGACAGGGATTTTACTGATCTATGTAATTAATTATACGCAAATGCACGTGATAATCGCGCAACTTGCTATATTACCTATACTGGCATTGAATTCAATGAGCGTGATTACCACGTACTTTTATTTATTAATGTATTTCCTACTCATTTGCAATTATCATAGAATTGAATTTGAATTAATGAATAGAAAAATTGATTTTTTGGCAAAATTACAGTCAAAGCCCGTTATGGAGAGACGTGTTAGAAGTTTGTTAAGCGACATGAATAACAAACACCGGGTGTTCACTATATTAGACCAATTTTGGTGCAAATTCTTGTTCATTGTATGGTTTGGTTTCATTTATTTAATAGCACTGGACTTATATATCGTTATTTACGGCAATTTAGACATCTATTGGTTAATTATATTCATTTACGTGACACTAATTCTATTTGTTTTGTCGCTAATTATATGCATTTCGGCCGCAAATATCTATAACGAGACCAACAAAACGTATGCCATTTTGCATACACTTATGATTACTTGCAATAAATTCAACGCAACCCTTGTTTGCAAACTTAAGGTATGTTTAGTCAATATTTGACACAAATATTTGTGAAATTGTTGTAAGAATTAAACAATTTTTTGTTTGCATTGCATTTACAGGTGTCGGCAATGATTGAAAAATGTAGTGAAAATACTATTGGTTTTCACTGCTGGAAATTAATCATGATTTGTGGCAAAAGAGTGCACGAGGTATTTATTAAATACACTATGACAATTTGTAAACTATAATAATTAATTAAACTTAACTTGTATATTAAATTAGATTTACATACTTATATTCGGGATATTCGTGCAATTAATTACCCTTTTGCAATAATTCAACTCAAAACTGTACTACAGTGGTAATTATGTAAAAACATGTAATTAATAAATTACCATGATAAAAAATGCTTATAAATTGTTTATTTCAAATATAAATAAAAATGTACCGTAATTAAGTTTTTAAAATTTCTAACCAAAAAATAAATCATTAAAAACCAAATTCAAGACACAATAAATGCAAACAAACAAAACATATGGTATTTCATAATAAAAGTCTTAAGCAAAAAACTTTCCAAACATAATTAGTGGTAAAAATCAATGAAATTCATTATAACTACTGAAACAAACAAAAAATTAAACCATCAATAATTCTGTGCCCAAAAACCATAAAACACACAAAAATCAATACCAAACACAATGTACTGAATGTGAGTGTAGAGTACATACAGCACAGGTAGTGAGTAGTGGACAGATAGGGTGGACAGTCGGGACTGACAGTGCAGACATACCTTCTCGACCACTTGTCCGGCGACCTCTTCGATGACCGAAAAGGTGAGATCCAGACTCTCCCACATGTCGGTGATGTCGTTGTCCTTAAGCCAGAGCAGGCTTTGGTGGAACTCCTGGTCCAAGTACTCCAAGTCGGACAGAGAGCACGGGAGGCGTAACAGCGCCTTATAGAAGGGTCGCGTGAAGAACGCGTCCAACAGGTACTGATGGACGAGCGCCAGACCCAGCACTCGGCCCGAGAAGCGGAACCACTCGTGACAGTCGTCCACGAAGGCCGACATCGGCGAGACCTGTGCCCACATAAAGACATTAATCGTTTTGTTATTTAAATCACCAATATGTATTTTATACACATTTAATTAATTCACATCTTAATTAATTGTAGTTTTATAACAAACAAATATAATAATACACTATAACTAAATAAACCATTATAAACTAAATCTACAATAAAACTATTTAAAAACAAACCGAACAAACTAGCTCAAATAAATCTAAACAACCAAGGGCAAACAAGCGAGCATTACCTGCACGGTATACGTATCGTTGGCCGAGTACTCAAACAGACCGTAATAGGGGTTAAAGAGTTCCCGCGACAACAGGAAGAAGAACTCCCGGGAGGGCCCGCCGTAGTCCAGACCCTCTTCGCCCGCAAACGATATATAGAGCCGCGACTTCTGGAGATCTTTCTTGTTATTGGCGGCCATTATTTTGCTGAACGCGTCCTCCAAGAGGTGATCGCGGCGTACGTTGAGCTTCATCTTATTGGGCCCCTGACCCATACCCTTCTGCTCCAGTTTGCGGTAAAAGTTACGCAGTTTGGCGTCAAAGTCCCGTCGGTAGGGCGCCGGTGGTGTCGGTGCCACTCGGATCTGCTCAGAGAAAGTTCATAAAACATGGTATTAATAAGTGATTTGATGTCAAATTTTTGCTATACAATTAAAATAGATAAATATAAACTTGGTTTAAAACATGATTACACACATGACTTCAAAATTCAAATGTTTTATAAATGTTTTAAAACCAAAACATAATTCAATACTTAATTACTTGTAAAAAGAGACATGAAATTCATTACAATTATCAAAACAATCACTGATTCTGTGCCTAAAACCCTACAAATCAATACCAAAACAAAGCCATACCTGCGAGCGCTGGACCTGAGGGGACGCCTGCGGCGATTGCGAACCGCCGGCCACTGCGGCGGCGGCGCCGGTCAAGTGCTTGAGCTGATCCGTCGACGGCACGTAAGACATGATCTCCTGCTCGAAGAGCGACAACAGTATCGTGAGCTCCAGATCGTCGCTAAACCGGTCCAACGCCTGAGTGCCGTCCGATCGGATGGTATGGACTTTGTCGCGAAGGGAACTGTTGGACTTGACGGCCGGCCGCCGCTCGCAGAGTATGTCCACAATGTTTGGCTGCCGAAGGAAAGCCACCACTTTGTCGTTATAGGCGGTCGGGACGGCTGGCGCCGCGCAGGTGGGCGTTGTGGCCGTCGACGACGTGGCCGGCGGTCGCGGCGGCGGTATTGGCGACGACGCGCTACCGTTGCCGCCGATCTCTTCGCCGGTTTCGCCGGCAGTGGCGGTGGTGTCGCCGGTGGAGCCGCCGATGGTTATGGTGTTGCGCACCCGTCGACGACTGGGCGCTATCACTAGTTTGTGCGGATTGACTACCGGCACGTCCAGCGGTAGCCGCGGGTCGATGAATGTGGTCGACCGCGACGTGTGATCGATGAAGAACTGTTTGCCAGTCTTGTCGATCTTCGACTCCCAGCCTATCGGTGACCAACAAAACACAAGCAAATCATTAGTACAAACAAAATACATTTTACATGCTATTAAACATTTAGCGGATTAACAATTAAACTAAATAGTAGTAACAAATATCACTCAATAAATTCCCATCCCGTTAGACTACAATTTTTATAAACTTTTAAATACTAGTAACAAAAATTCTGCTTAAAATAATTCAAATTAAAATTCGTGTAAATTAGTTGATTCATTCAAATTCATTAAAAATATGTGTACTCTATCTCAAAACGCATATTTAACTAGTGCTTATAAAGTTATACAAATCTATACACGTCTATTTAAAACACTAGCCTTAACCCTAGGCTACAAAAAACCGATGCCCAATAACGGCATGACAATAACAATAATATGTCCGTTAACGTACCGGACGGCAGTTCCCGCTGTGTCTCAGCGAACTTATTGATCAATGCGACCAAATCGCGATTGTGTTGATAGCGCTCAAAAGCGCCGGTCAACTGGTGCTGTCCCTCGCGTCTCACTTTAGTCACCATGTGTTTCAACGACGACGAGCCGTTGTATTGGGCCAGCGCTTCGTCATTCATGTGCATCAGATTGAAAAAGTCCGTACGGGTCAGGAAGCGCACCGCCGGCAGGTCTAGTATCACACGCGACGGATTGGTGGCAACGCTACCACTCACTGCCGGCGGCGGTGGTGCCGGTGGTGGCGACACTACGGGCGCCGGTGTGTGGCCAACGCTAACGCTGCTTACTGTGACCGTAGACACCGACACTGTGGTAGTGGTGATGGCGGCCGGTGTTGTTGTCGCTGTGGTAGTGGTGGTGATGATGGCGGTGGTGGTCATTGGCCCTCGCGATTGGCTATGCGTTTGGCCGTCGATTATATCCGTTGATGATAACCGACTGGTGTCGGCGGTGGCCGTCGCGGGTCCGGTAGGGGTCGTAGTGGCGGCGGAGGTGGTGGTCGTACCACTCTTGGCCGCCTTGGAATGAAAATCACGTGACCCGCGGCCAGTCATTGTCCGGCGTATCGATTGATACCTAATAATCAAAGAGTAATCAAACAATTAGTTTATATATTCTGGACACTAGACCAGTGTCTGTGACAATGGGGTTATACGCGTACCGCCTGTCCAACTGCTGGCGCTGAATGGACTCATTATTCTGGGCCGTACTCGTCGACTGTTGCGGCGTCTGGTGTTGCGAGGGCTGCGGTCGGGACCAAGTGGTGGTACGGTTGGAGTGATCGATGTAAAAAATGCGCCCGTGAGCGTCGATCCGGGCCTCCCAATTGGTGGGCAGCGACTCGTCCAACGCTATCCTCTGGTACCGTACCGTACGCTCCGGTATAGACGGCAGCCGTGTTATGGTTGCCGACCGGTTCACAGAGGCGTGACTTCCCGATGACTGTCCACCACTCGTCGTGCCGTTGCTCTCGCGGCTCACCGATGATAGTGTCGGCCCTTCAGTCAATGTAATGGTTATTAATCGCAATGTTTTCATATTTGTTGTGAGTTATTGTGAAACACTATTCAGTGTTTAATTTTATGGTAAATTTGCTTTTTTTTTGTTGTTCACATTGTTTTTCAATGATATTTCCCTTTTTATGGCATTAGTATAATTTAATCATTGGTTTTTCGCCAGTAGTTATGTTAATTCAATTGATTATTTATAACACAGTTGTAACACAAAAGCCATTCAATCACACAATTGTTAATTCATTTATAATTGCGTTAAACAAAGTCTTTTCATAAGAAAAACATTATAATTATATTAAATGAAAAGTTAAACAAAATATTTTGTATGTGTTTTAAACAAAACAAAATTTTCTGATTTCATATGAGATTCACAGCCAAAACAAGGCATCAGTTGTTTTGTGTAAATCTCAAACACTTTTGACACAATAATTATTATAATTCCCATAAGAATTGGCAAACAATTCAAACACACAATTGAAATGCACTGTAATTTCTCAATGCATTAAAACAGAGTTAAAAATCGCAAACAATTTGAAGCGAAAAACTAAAAACAAAATTAAAAATTTCATTCAAAAAACGAGACAAAATGACAAAATAAAACAACATATCGCTAGACGTTTGGTGGGAAAAGTTATACAATTGGTTTTTCGCCATATATTCCACATATAATAAGCAGTAATTAACAAACAAAACACCAAAACTATATTCAAAAAACTGTAGGACCGGTAGAGACGGGCAGCTGTTGTGAGTGTGAATACCTGTCCCCTACCTATCGGTGCTGACAGACAGACACACGCGTAGAGACACAGGTTTTCAAACGAAATGATAAATACATTTACAAATCAATTGATTTTTTCACGAGAAGTCAATGAAAATAAAATGCAAAAAACTTTTTGAGACAAAACAAAAGATTATTGAATTTTGCGTTTTTTTGTTTCATTCATTTGTTTCGTTTGAAAAACAAAACATTATATTTAATTGTTATATAAAAATATCATTAAAGAGTAAAACCCATATATAAAATACTATACAGTATATACAGGTATATATGCACAGGTATATTATATAAGAGTGAAACGAATCGTGGTGCAAAACACTGTAGTATTATTGTACATGTTAATAAACTTGAAATAATACAATAGATTATATAACAAGTCGAGAGAGAGAGAGAGGAACGGTAGGGAACGTTGAGCTAGATGTTAGACCTACGACGAAACATATGGTGTCAATGACTTTCCCTGTAGTTTATATCGCAGGGATTTTTTCTCATAACAAATCATAATAACAATAGACTAATCATAACATAATAGCCAATGAAAAAAGCAATAATTGAATTGAAAGCAAAAATTATTTGTCGCACTTATCGGTTGGGGCATTAAGAGGGACAGAGAGGGGGAGGGGGAGAGGGACTGACAATCAAAGCCTATCAACTAAACAATAGCCAAACAATACAATCGTATAATAATCTAATGATAGGCTGTGAGAGAGTGAGTGAGTGTTGAGTGAGAAAATCGGTTACAAGTCGTCGATTACATTAACCATAAGATTAGATAATAAGAAAATTACGCGAAAAAAATCAATCAAAAAGTTTGAAAAACTTTTGTTCACTGAAAAGATAACACAATTTTTTTCAATCGCTATATTTAAAGCCAAAACTGCGGCCAATATTGCACTCAAAGGTTATATAATGTACTGAAAAAACAACACAGATATCACTGAACGAAACGTTTCAATACATATAATGAGGTATTGAACGCAAAAAGTGTTATTGAATTTTGGTGTTGAGAAACAAAGTTATCATAAGTTATATAACATATGAGCAAGGTGGTTAATTTGAAAATAAAAGTTCTGAAGTGGGTGCAGTGAACATGAAAAGGGTGTGTGTTCATGTTCACTTTAATTATTAACAAATCAACATGTTATGTTATGGGATATGAATCTATGTCAAATAAGGAGTCGAGCAATTTTTCACATATTGCTGTCCGACCTCGGGTGACCACTTTTATATGTAATGTTAGCATATCCAATACTAACATTTGATACATGAAATCAATGTAGAATTTAACGTAGAATTAGAATATCGTAATATCATCTCGATGGTGTGCATAGATATTATGCTAATTACTCAATATTGTTAAATTTTAAATAAAATTAGGCAAATAATCTATTACTCTGCAACTTTTGCACTCCACACCATCATCACCACCAATCCTCGACTTAAGTTTTGACTTTATGTTAAGCCAACATCAACTTAGACCAAGAAAAATTGAAATTACATAAAATCTATGCAACCCAACGAGTTAATATTACTATATTATAATTCTACGTTAAAATCTGCATTGATTTCATATATCACATATTAGAATTGCATAAGTTAAATTTTCCGATAAAAGTGGTCACTGCAATCAAACCCGAAGTCGGACAGCCATATATGAAAGTTTAATCTACTCCTTATTTAACATAGTTTCATGTAACATAACATAACACGTTAATTTGGAAAATAATTAAAGTAAATCTGAACACATACCCTGTTCGCACCCACTTCAGAACATTTATGAGCAATGATTTGCTAATAACATAGACACCTTGCTCATACTACCTATTCAGTCATATTTTAATTAATCAGATTCTCAAGGTCTATTTTTGAGCTGTAATACAGCATATTAGGGATTTAGAACTTAATGAAGTTCTTGTCAACTAATTTACACGAATTTTAATTTACATTATTTTAAGCAGAATTTTTTTTACTAGTGTTTAAAAGTTTATAAAAATTATAGTCTAACGGGATGGGAGGTTATTGAGTGATATTTGTTACTCCTATTTAGTTTAATTGTTAGTCCGCTAAATGTTTAATAGCATGTAAAATGTATTTTGTTTGTATTGTTTGTACTAATGATTTGCTTTTGTTTTGTTGGACACACCGATAGGCTGGGAGTCGAAGATCGACAAGACTGGCAAACAGTTCTTCATCGATCACACGTCGCGGTCGACCACATTCATCGACCCGCGGCTCCCGCTGGACGTGCCGGTAGTCAATCCGCACAAACTAGTGATAGCGCCCAGTCGTCGACGGGTGCGCAACACCATAACCATCGGCGGCTCCGCCGGCGACACCACCGCCACTACCGGCGGCGATACCGGCGAAGAGATTGGCGGCAACGGCAGCGCGTCGTCGCCAATACCGCCGCCGCGACCGCCGGCCACGTCGTCGACGGCCACGACGCCCACCTGCGCGGCGCCAGCCGTGCCCACAGCCTATAACGACAAAGTGGTGGCATTCATACGGCAGCCAAACATTGTGGACATACTCTGCGAGCGGCGGCCGGCCGTCAAGTCCAACAGTTCCCTTCGCGACAAAGTCCATACCATCCGATCGGACGGCACTCAGGCGTTGGACCGGTTTAGCGACG